GCTCCTATCATAGCCCTTACACCTTTTTCTGAGGTGTCTTCGCTCGTCGTCATACGACGGTCTGATCTTGGGCTCATCTCATGACTCTCATACCTTTTTTTTAAGGTGTTTTTGCCTTTTATAGGCGGTTGCATCCTCCTTTAGCTAGGACGCTTCAAAGTGGCTTCAAGATTCTCTACCACTATATGGACTATAGGAGAGATCACTGTCACTGATCACATACAAAAGAAAGAGTCGTGATACACTCCTCGTAATCGTCCATCTTGATTTCTATGTTTGGAGCTTCTACGTCTTTCTGCTTGACAGCTCCACCCACACCAACTCCCTTTAGTGTTTTCGGCTTTCATTATAAGTGGTAGCATTTTATCACACGCGTTTGCACCCTTTTAATTAGGTGCATCTGCAACAACTTATATTTCCAACCTTGAATGTATTGAAAAGGTCCTCGTTTATTGCCTTCATCAAGAGCATAAAAGATTTCCTGTTGTACAACCTTCACACAGTCTCTACTCTAAGCTTCATCTGGGAACTCTTCTTCTCCTTGCACTTGTTGTCTCATTACAGTATCTCGTTGGATCCTACATGTACTCCTACACAATCTCTATGTGCCCTCTTGCAATTTCTGTTTTCTAGATTTCTCCATATTCCTTACTTATGTTTGATAACAGCTCATCTTATCACAACACTTGTCCAAGTCAAAATAAGGTATCAATCTTCATGTCCTTGTTGCATTTCTCTACCATTATCTGGGTCTTCATCAGTTCTCCCCGTGAGAAATCATAGTCACCGAATCTAACTTTTTGAAAAAATCACCACTCCATCAGATCTTTGATCATAAGGAACCTAATTGTTCCTTTGTGCCATCATCCTACTAGTCTTCAACAGTTTTATAACAAATTGTCATATATACAAAAATAGTATTATATGGATAATCCTTTCACTAAGTAAGTTTTCAGGAAAGATTAGAGGGGTCACACTGGTTTCATTTAAAACCCAATCTTCTAGCCAGAACTTTTTAAGCCATATCTACCTATTGTACTGTCTTTTCGTATATACAACCATTTGCTAGCTTTATTGTGGCTTTCCTTTGCAAGTGATCTAGAATATTTTGGTTTCATACCTGATTTCTAAACATCTGGTGAGACTACCAGTGCTTAGATTCGTCAAGATTAGTCTTTATCAATTTCTACTCTCCACTTTAAATCTTCCACATCATCGGGTGTCCAAAGTGTCCTAATTTTGCTTTCTCTCAAGGAAATTAAAATTTCCCAACATAACAGTTTAGCATATGTAATTGGACAACCATGTGCAATTTCTTTTTCTTTATCTTCATCGACCACCACAATGACCATCAGATGCCTCCTGATCAGGCAATCTCTTTTTAATAATTCATCACTATTATTTATGGTCTCAATCTCAATGATTGGATCATACCATTGCATCCGAAATGATTAAATTAGCTGGAAACAAGTCTGAAATCATCCAAATTGCACTTTAGATAGTTAAGATTTGATCAAAACAATTTAGTCTTGATAAACGACCCAGATTCAATCTCAGATTCAGTTGCACGTAGGCTTCATTACATAGAATCCTATCCCTTAGCTCTAGCTCGACTCGATGCGAGTGATGATGTGGTAGGTGGGTCCCACAGTGATGACTGGTTGCTGACATGGCATGCCACCTGTGCATGTTGATGCAATGATGATGTTATCATCATCCAGATTTGGCACATGGGTCAGGTCATCTAGTATTTGGGTCAGGTTAACCCATTCGGGCAAGGAAGAAGAGTGTGACATGGGGCGTACAACTGCGTGCGTGGCCAACCACCTTGTTAGTGCGTGATAGCGTATGTGACCATGTCTGATGTCCAATTTCGACACAATTTTCACCATTGACTTCGTCTCTTTCTCCTTTATACAGTGGTATGGTTAAAACATAATTTTGACAACTTTTATTTTTGAACAAAATCAAATACCACTTTAAACCATGTGCTTTGATACCAATGATGTACTGATATTTGCTCATAGAAGGCTTAGCACATGACATAATATTTAACGTAGTTCGGCAAATCACCTACATCCATGAGAGAGTCGATATTATTAAAGATAGAGAAAAAATACAAAATAAATACATGAAGGAGAAGGAGAATTACACCCATTCAAACTTAACTTCCAACTCACTATTGTTCTAAACTCTAGATATTATTAGAGATAGAGAAAAAATATATAAAAAAAATGGCAACAATGTTTATGACAAGGTTAGGAGGGTTTTTTTATTAAAAAATAAAATACATTTCAAAAATAAAGTATTGAAAGAACAAGTGCAGTTTCAAGACTTTTTGGAGAAATAGTATAGCTCGACGACACTCTTCTAAATTGCACAACTTAATTCTTTTTAAAATATATAGATTATGATTACTTTTCGGGGACGTGCCGAGTGAAATTAAAAATTCTTTTAATGATAAAAAAATATTACGTTTTAGTCGTTATCCTACTTTAGTGGGTGAATTATCTCTTTTTTTAACTTAAATTTAAAATTATTTTTAGTTAAATTGACAAATTGATTGAAACTAAAAAGTCAAGGTGTGAATAGTAAATATGAAGATTTAAATTATAATTTGTTTTTAAATTTGAAAGTTAAAAAAATATTTTAAAGCATAAAATAAACAAATTTTTGAACAAAAATATATTGTAATGAATTGAAGATGTCAGTTAGCATCTCCAGAGGTAACTCAACTCAATTAGGTCATGAATTTTTTTAATTATTAATTTTAAAAATTTAAAAATTAATTAAAATATATATAAAAAATTTTTTTAAAAAAATTGACATGATTTCCACCCACTAAATTAATTTTATATCCTAAAAAATTACTCAGCCCTTGTTAAAATATTATACTCTGAACTTTATGTCCGCAGCTGACGCGGTCCATGCCCCCTATGTCAATGCCAGCTAATAACCATACTGTCTCTAAATATTAATTTAAAAGTTTGAAAAGGCTTGTTTAACATAAGGATGAAAACAAAGTCTATTTCTTGGATTTATCTGAAAAAAATATTAATTTTAAGGACCCGATGAGCTTTAAAAGCTTTTCCAATCAGTGTAAAGCATTAGTAAGGATACTAAATTTCTGAATAAAAGGATAAAATAATTTCATACTAAATTAGTAAGGATTTCTCATCTTCGTGTCTCGTTCACATGTTAGCTTTTTGAGAAAAATACATATAATAAGTTTACTTTTGAAAAACAAATTAATTATCGATAAGTTTTATGCTAATCTTTCAAAAATTATCAATTAATTGATTTTTTTTGTTTTTTTTGTTTTCTGAAAATATAAGGCATTATAACTTTTTGAATTTCCAATGCGAAAATAATTTATAACTGCAATCTACTCACAAAAAATACAAATAAAAAATGTACATGCTAAAAACTTGTTATAAAGTATTTTTCTTAGAAAAAAACAATATCAGATTTTTAAATTAATGCATTTTAAGGATTTTGCAGGGAAATATAACATGACATAAATTCAATTGGAATAAAAACTTAAAACTCAAATGTATTTGTATAAAAAAATATTAGAAAATCAGATTGATAATGTACTGATATTTGATTATAAGAGTTTTAGTACACTAACATAGTATTTAACGTGGTTTGAAAAATTGCTTGCATCTATATGAGAGTCGATATTATTAGAGATAACGAAAAAACATAAAATAAATACATGAAGAAGGATAATTACACTCACTCAATCTCAATTCCCAGCTCGTTATTGCCCTTAGTAGCACCTCTTTCTGTCTTCTTCTTATATGTTGCAATCTCATATTCTTTCTTTTTTTTATATTGCTCTCAAACAATGTCTTTATTTATAGGTATCAATAGTAAAACAAGATCCATAAATCATAACAACACATGAATTGCATCATTTTGTCAATGATTGGTGCAACTTAGCTATATCTAGTATGCTTTTAACTTAGCTAAATCATTTGGAGTAGTTGTTGAAGGTGTTAGTTGTTAACCTACTTTAGTGGGTGAATTATCTTTTTTTTTTTAACTTAAATTTAAAATTATTTTTAATTAAATTGACAAATTGATTAACACAAAAAAAATCAAGGTTTGAATGGTAAATATAAAGATTTAAATTATAATTTTAAAAAATATTTTAAAACATAAAATAAATAAATTTTTGAACAAAAATATATTGTAGTCAATTGAACATGTCAATTAGCATCTCTAGAGGTGGTCATGAATTTTTTTAATTATTAATTTTAAAAATTTAAAAATTAATTAAAAAATATAAAAAAATTAAAATAAAAAAAAAAACTTGACATGATTTCCACCCAATAAATTAATTTTGTACCCTAAAAAATTACTCAGCCCTTGTTAAAATATTATACTCTGAACTTTATGTCCGCAGCTGACGCGGTCCATGCCCCCTATTATGTCAATGCCAGCTAATAACCATACTGTCTCTAAATATTAATTTTAAAAGTTTGCAAAGGCTTGTTTAACATAAGGATGAAAACAAAGTCTATTTCTTGGATTTATCTGAAACAAATATTAATTTTAAGGACCCGATGAGCTTTAAAAGCTTTTCCAATCAGGCTCTTACATGTCAAAAAGTTGTTCTTTTTTGTTCTTTTTTTAATTACCAAGTATCAGTGTAGAGCATTTAGTGGGCACGTATGCCTTAAAAGTTAAGTGCTCGAGTGGGAAAAGGAGAGAGAAGGGGAAGCTTCGATATAAGGGATTAGGATGAAACTACAAAGAATTGAAAAGTTTGAGGACTTATATGAGCAACTTAGCTAAAAAAACAAAACAAGAAAATCTGAAACGCAAATACACCAAAACACAAGATACTTATTTGGATTGTCTTCGTATTTTGACTAAATTAAGTCGATGCACGGTTTTGTGAAACTTACCGTGCAATTATGGTGCTGTAAGATCATTATGCATGCATGTAAATGGATTCGCCTCCATTAAATGCGTGGAGAGCTTTCTTGCCAATACTGGAAAAGATCATTAATTAACCACGTAAATGGATTCTCCTGTATAAAAATGGTGATTGACACAACCTGTCGACACAGGCAAGTTTGTCGAGTATATTATAATTTGCCTTGTTATATATGAAAGCTTAAACGTGCCCTTGATCCATCGAGTTCCCCACTTGCACCAGTCCTCAGTGTCTCTCACACAACAATATTTATCATTTCCATGGAGACAGTCAAGGAAGATAATCTCCAAGAATTTCTACTCACCCTTCCAAGTGAGAAAAACTGGGATGGTACTCCCCTCCTTCTTTTCAATGAGACCTGGTATCCAGCCAGCTCCATTAGAGGTGCAGTTTCCTTTCAACAAAACTTCAGGGCACAAGACTCCGACATAATATTAGCAAGCATGCCAAAATCAGGTACTACTTGGTTGAAGGCCCTCACCTTCTCGGTTGTAAGCCGTGATCGCTACAGCCCCAAAGAGAGCCCCTTAATAACTGCCCCACCACATGAACTGGTACCTTTCCTTGAGGTGGATCTTTACTTGAAAAGCCAGAACCCAAATCTTGATTTTCCTCCGCCAAGAATTCTTTCTTGTCACACACATTACACGTATCTGCCAGAGTCCATTAGAGACTCCAACTGTAAAATTGTGTACGTGTGCAGGAATCCTTTGGATCAGGCTGTTTCTGATTTTGTTTTTGTTCGAGACAGAGTATCAGGCATCGCAAACCCTTTATCATCATCATTAATTGATGAAGGTTTCGAGAATATTTGTCGTGGTGTCCAGAGTTACGGACCCTTTTGGAATAATGTGTTGAGCTATTGGAAAGCGAGCTTGGAAAGACCAGACAAGGTGTTGTTCTTGAAGTATGAGGATCTGAAAGAGGATATTATCTTGAACTTGAAGAGGTTAGCAGAGTTCTTGGGCTTTCCCTTCACCGAGGAAGAAGAGAAAGAAGGGGTTATTGAAGAAATTTCAAGACTCTGTAGTTTTGACAATCTCAAGGATTTGGAAGTGAACAAAAATGGTGTCCGCCCTTCTGGAACGCGAAATAGTGTCTTCTTCAGGAAAGGAGAGGTGGGAGATTGGGGCAATCATCTTGGTCCTTCCATGGCTGAACGTTTCTTGAAGATCGTGGAAGAAAAGTTGGATGGATCTGGTTTAACCTTCAAAATCTCTCAGTAAGTGCTACCAAATCAAGAATCGCTCTGTCAAACTTCCTGCTTTGCCCGAGTCTTGATCTCTTCAGAAAATATCAGAACTTATGTTGTTTTGTGCGAGCCTGTGTTTCAGTTACCTGCTTTCATTCTCTGTCGAAAATCTTCATTCAGAAAGGTCGTCTCATCATATCAACCACAGTAGTATTTGCTTAAGATTTTTATTATGAAAATTAATGTTTTACCTCTCAATGAGTCCATTTATAGATGGATTGTCGGATTTGGCATGTAATTCAACAATTATTATCAAGATAGATAATAGTTGTAATTATCGGGTAATTAATCTGCCATCTGCAATTGTTGCTTGCCATGAGGCTCTCCCCACCCTCGCCCAAACTAGGTCCATGTACTGCGGATTTTGGGATTTTCTTTATATATTTTGTTATTTTGGGTTTTTTAATTTTAATTTAATTAGAATTTTATAAATTAGACTATTTTTTCTTTATTTAAATAGTGTTGTTGGCTATTTTGCTGACGAGAATTTATGAAAAAAAATCAAAATATATTAAAGTTTCCTTTATAATTTTCTCCTATTGTAACCTTAGAATTTGTGAATTTTAGTATTTTTTTTATTCAAGTTTATAAAACTTTAGAGATTAAGTAATCCCTATCCACGCAATAAGTCGTGTCACGCATGGTTTCATGATTTTTCTTCCAGCATGTCCAGTGAAAGCATCTCGTGAGTACAAGCAATATATTAACAATATACTAAAAGGTTCCCCACGCCTTTTAATAAAATTTATATATAATAATAATAATATTATTATTATTAGGTGCAAACCCAACCCGAGTTAGGTGCAGACGCGCCTAGGCTTAACTTGAGAGTGGGTGGGGACGCGTCCCAACTTAGTGATAGGTGTGACCACATCTAGCCCCAATTTAAGGTTGAACATGTATATTGGGTGTGGACATGTTCAGAAAAATTATTATAAAAATAAAAATAATTATAATAGAAATAATATTATTTTTATTTTTAATAAAAATAAAAATAAAAAATAATTTTATTTTTAATGCTAATATTTTTAATTAAATAAATAATTATTATTATAACACAGAAATATTATTTTTAATATTAATACTTTTAACCATAATAAAAAATAATTATAACACAAATAATATTATTTTTATTATATATAATAATATTATAATAATAATAATGAGATGCAGACACCTGATGCTTGGTCTACCCTAACACTACATGACGCTAAGAGACCTTTATGTAGCAATTAGACTCGATTGCCATGTGGCAATTGGCAGTGCTATGGTGAGCTATGGTGAGCCTGGCCTTGCCCACCCCATGTATAGACCAGAACATCATGTGGTCATGGGGTGGCTTGAGGAGAGCTAATACACTCGGGTCATCATGATAAATGACACGATTATTTAGGGTTCAGCTTCATAACCCCAGCTTAATGGGTCTTACATGAACAATTTTATTAAGTCTTGATGAAGAATTTTAAATATTTTAATTTTTATTATAATTAAAAATATTATTATAAAAATAGTATTATTTGTGTTATAAATATTTTAATTTTTAATATAATTAAAAATATTATTCCTAAAAATAATATAATTAATATTATAAATATTATTATTTTATCATAATGAATAACATTTGCATTAAAAATATTATTAATTTTATTAAAATTTAAAATATTCATATAAAAATAATATTATTTGTGCTATAAATATTATTATTTTATTATAATTAATAATATAAATATTAAAAATATTATCAATTATGGTATAAATATTAATATTTTTATTATAAATAATAATATTATAATAACAATTAAAAGTAAAAATTATATGATTTTTTAATAGATATAATGTGTGAAATCGGGTAAAAAACTCGTAAGATAGCAAACTCGATCTAATTTGATGAAACTCGGTTAAAATCATTCACACTTGATAAACTCGGACCGAGGTTGATAAAATTAACAAAAAAATATTAACTCTTCTCAGTCCTTTCCTTTCCATCTTGTTTGTCTCGTAAAAGTACCCCTTTCCCCAAATATCACATTCTTTAATTCTTAAATCTCAACCCTAATAGTAGCAGACTAACACCTGCAATGCCTTCCACCCTCTTTCTTTCTCTCAAATTTTTTTAAAAAAATCATAACAAAATTTTTTTAGCAATCAACGGTGTTTTTTTTTAAAAAACTATAAAGCTAAATTACTAATCAGCTCGGTATAAAAAAAAAAAATTCTATTAATTTAAAAAATATATGCGAAAACATTGTAGCAATTTATAGTGTTTTAAAGAACTACAAAGCTAAAATCTCAATCAGCTCAATATAAAAAAAAATTTAACAAAGATGGTTATGAAAGAAAACAAAAAAAAATCATTAAAAAAACTATGTGGAGAAATGCTATAACAATTCATAGTATTTTAAAGAAAAAAACTAAAAAACTAAATTCTCAACCAGTTCAATAGTCAAAAAATAAAATAAAAAAGATAATTTAAAAAAAAAATCAAAAAAGACAATTCTGAAAAAAAAAGACAAAAAACAAAGACAATTTTGAAAAAAAATATAAAAAAATACGGAGAAAACTAAAACTCAATTTCTACTAACTCAATATTAAAAAAATAAATTTAACATGGATAATTTAAAAAAAAAATATGCAGGGAACACTATATCCAAACAAAAACCACGTGCGGAAAACATTATAGCAATTCAAAATGTTATTTTTTGAAAAAACTACGAAGCTAATCATATAGAAAAATATTATAGTAATTCATAATGTTTTTTTTAAATACATAATTAAATTCTCAACTCTCAACTAGTTCAATATTTAAAAAAATTGATAAAAATAATTTAAAAAAAAACAAAAAAAACAAAAAAAAAAAGAGATGTCAATTTTGAAAAAAAAACATGTAAAAAAAGAAGAACAAAAGCAAAAAGAAAAAGACACATATGATGAAAACTATAATGATTCCCCACGCACGTGTTTTAGAATTATTGATAATAATAATTTGTATATAAATGATTGTTCTGAAAGCTTAAGCTTTGCATTGGTCCAACGAGTTAATATATATATGAACACACACCATTCCTCACTTTGATTCACACATCAATCATCAATTTCATGGAGGCAGCCACCGAAGATAGTTTCCAAGAATTTGTACTCAACCTTCCTTGTGGGAAAGACTGGGATGGCGCTCCCCTCCTCCTTTACAATGATACCTGGTATCCAGCCTACTGCATTAGAGGTGTGGTTTCCTTTCAACAAAACTTCAGGGCACAAGCCACCGACATAATAGTAGCAAGCTTGCCAAAGTCAGGTACTACTTGGTTGAAGGCACTCACCTTCTCGGTTGTAAACCGAGATCGCTACAGTCCCAAAGAGAGTCCCCTGACCACCACCCCACCTCATGAACTGGTGCCCTTCTTTGAGAATGATCTTTACTTGAAAAGCTCGAACCCAGATCTTGATTTTCCTCCTCCAAGAATTCTTGCTTGTCACACACATTACACATCTCTGCCACAGTCCATCAGAGATTCCAAGTGTAAAATTGTGTACATATGCAGGAATCCTTTGGACCAGGTTGTCTCTTATTTTCATTTCCTTCGAAACAGAGTGTCAGGCAGCACAAAACCGTTATCATCAATTGATGAATGTTTCGAGAACATATGTCGCGGTGTACAGAGTCACGGACCCTTTTGGAATAGTATGTTGAGCTATTGGAAAGCAAGCTTGGAAAGACCAGACAAGGTGTTGTTCTTGAAGTATGAGGATCTGAAAGAGGATATTATCTTGAACTTGAAGAGGTTAGCAGAGTTCTTGGGCTTTCCCTTCACCGAGGTAGAAGAGAAAGGAGGAGTTATTGAAGAAATTTCAAGATTGTGTAGTTTTGACAATCTCAAGGATTTGGAAGTGAACCGAAATGGTGTCCATTCATCAGGATTTTCAAACAGTGCCTTCTTCAGGAAAGGAGAGGTGGGAGATTGGGGCAATCATTTCACTCCTTCCATGGCTGAACGTTTCTGGAAGATCGTGGAAGGAAAGTTGGATGGATCTGGTTTAACCTTCAAATTATCTCAGTAAGTACTACCAAATTAAGCATCGCCACTGTTAAACTTTAGGATTTTCCTTGGCCTTGATCTCTTCAGAAAATATCAGAACTTATGTTGTTTTGTGCGAGCCTGTGTTTCAGTTGCTTTACTCTTCTTTTATGTCGAAGATTTTTACTGAGAAAGCACAACATATCAACCACAGAATAGTAGCAGTAGTAATTTCACAACTATTATCAAGATAGATAACGTAATCTGCCATATGCAATTGTTGCTCGACAGGAGGCTTTCCCCACCTCCGTACCTCCTATTATGTGTGGTCCTGCATTATATGTGATGTTCGAATCATCATATTAATTGTGAAGAGTCAGTAACATAGGTGTCTCTTGAAATTATTGAAATTAAAAACACAATGTTACTGCAGTAATATGATTATTGAATAAAAAAAAATAAAAAAGAAGAGAAAAGGGGAGGAAGAAGAGCTAGCTGTATTTTTTATTTTTTATTTTTATTTTTTATTTTCAGCTCGTTCACTGTTGGATTAGGTTGAGATTTTGACAACAGCTTTTAGACATGTTACTTTTTATTCTGAACTGTTCAATCAAAGATTAGTAGTGTGGAAGTTGAATATTTTGACAAAAAAAGAGGCTGTTAGTGTTGTGAGTTTTTATCAAATATTTTCCTCTTTAATCTTAATATATTCTAAGAATAGATTGTTCTTGATAATATGTATGTTGAAGTACTTAGTTGAATTTAAAAAAAAACAGTTGTGAATTTATTATTTATTGATAGTAGAAGTTTTTAAGTGGATTACGATCTCGTAATTTTTCTCGCATCAGATTTTTTATATAAAAATTTAGTGTTAATTTATATACTTATTACTTTATATTTGTTGATTATTTGATTCTAATTTTAATTATATAAAAAAATAAAAGATTTATAAATTATAAATTAATCAAGAGAAATTAATATCCAGTTATTTAATCCTAATTTTCCCAGCACCTTCATCCTCTTTCCTGTTCTTTTTTATAGACAGGCGCTTTCTTTCAAGAAAGGTCACAGGATAGCAGATCAACCTGAACCGTAGTAGCTGTTTCCGGTGGGCATATCTTCCAAGAAAGCCACCCCGGCCCTGATTTTCTCCTCTGAGCATATCAAGATAAAAGGATCTCGCTTAAAAAGCATGCCAAATCTCCTCGTCACTCCAGCCCAAACTCTTCATCACCTTAATTTTCTTCTTCCGAGTCGATTCACCGGTAGATAACGGCGTGTATGAAAACAGTAGCATTCGGTTTGAGAATCCTTGAGAGCTCTCACTTCATAAATAATCTTATCACGTTTTTGCAGTATAGTTCTTGGGTACAAGATAATCATTTTTGCAATCCTATCAATAGTCTCTCCCTCCTCTGCCAACAAATTATAATTTGGTTGCGTAGTGGCCTTCGAACTCACCGTTAACAGCCACGAAGAACGCTTAAGAACCGCCATAACATTCCCGTCCTAAAGGTCATGTATGATACTACCTCTACTTTGTAAGTTTGATCAAATTAATCCCTTTTATTTTAATTTGGTAAAACAAACATATTTTCCTTCAGTTAGATACAATTCGACACTCTCCTCACAATTATTACATCGTAGAATTCGCACGACAGTTCGGTTGATTAGAGCCTTGAATGATGGGGCTTGAATCGTTTATAATTGGAGTTAGAAAGTTCGATTTGACAAAACTTAAAGCGAAGAATTTGACTTGAAAAGTTGATCAAAATAAAGGGACCATTTTTAATACCTCTTAAACTTAACTGAACTCGCAAAGATGGGAATAATTTACAATTGGGTATAGTTACAATTTAGTCCCCAAACTATAAGCTTTATTCCAATCCAGTGAAACATGTCATTGTATCAATACAATTTTCAGCTCCATTGAGCAAATCTAACGTTTGATTTGTGAAAAAAAGAAGAAAAACACCATTTGGGATGCTTTATCATCCTTTATTTTTCTCAAATCATACTGGATTTACAAAATCTGTATATTTTCTCTAAAATTCCCCAGAAATTCACTTTTCTTTTAGAAATAAGAGTTTTTTTTAAAAAAATAGGTTTCTAATACATTATTTGTAGAAAATTAGCAGCCATAAATTGTTTCAAATATGTCTACACATGGTATGGTATCACATAAAATGTCTCAATTTTTTTTTTCATTTCCATTGACAAAGCATGTTTCTTCGTCTTTCACACGAGATCATATAAAATTATATTATCATTATTTTTGGCATTACAATTATAGATCATTTTTATTTATTGATTTCAAAAATAAGATTTTAAAAATAAAAAAAATATTATTTTAATGTATTTTCAAATAAAAAAATAAATATTTTAAAAAATAACATCTACCACACTCTCTAACACTCCTAATATATAAAACCAAATCATCTATTTATATATAATAATAATAATTTGTTTTATTCATTTGACAATAAAAACTATAACTCTAATTTGAGACCTTATCGTATTTATTTGCAAAAACAAATTATCAGACACTCATTGATAAATAATCCTAATGTTTTATAGGCACTGGTGAGATTACCAAAATTATTTGAAAAAAAACAACAACTAAAAGTATTCATTGTTAAATTAAATGATTGCATATATCTGGTGCTTGCACGAAAAAGGCATTTTTCTTATAATCTAACAAAAAATGTGTAAAATAAGGAGGAAAAAAAAGAAATAGGCAAGATTTAAATAATTTCTAGGATAAACTTAAATTCTTTATAATTTGAAGACTAACAATGGAACCAATTCTTTACAACAATTTATTTGATCTATATTTTAGCAAATTAAATTGATTTGATTTATTAATTGAATTTTTCTCATATAAAGTAAACTTTAAAATTTAAAATTATAGTATTTATTTAACTCAAGAAAAAAACATCATTTATTTAATTTATTTTTATTTTTAAAAAAATTATTTTAAATGTACTTGCTAGAGAGAAAGAGAAAAGAAAAGATATTCTCGAGATTAATTTCTTATTAATTATTTATGAAGTAAATCACACCTTCTTTTACCATGATTTGCAAATCTAAAAAATTCCTCATTTTAATTAGTGGTAGGATTTTTTTATATTATTTAGATAAAAATTAGATAAATAATATTAAAATTATTTAATTTCTGCTTGAATCTAAAATCTTTAAACTACCTTTGAGAAATAACAGCGTGGCTGATTTGTACTTATTTATTAAAAAACACCAATTAAATGAATGAATGAATGAACGAATGAACGAAGCTGACATTTTCCATTTCTATACTCAAGACGATCGGGTAGATTTTTGAGGTGTGTGAAAGAGAAAGCAGCTCAAAAGAAGCAAGAAATACTCACAACCCCTAGTGTCACGGCCAAGTCTGGTATTTTATTTCTCTGTCCTTGTCTTCCTTTATTTATATTGCTTTGCTATGAATAATCATATTTGGTAGATTGCAATTTCTCCTTAATGGAAAAAAGTTTGATTTTTAACTGTTTGGATTCAATTTGGTTGAAACCCATGTTTTATTTTTGGTGAATTTGATGCAGAATTTGATTTACCAAGATGACCCCAGTTTGCCCTTTTGTGAAAGCTTCAAGGCCTGATGATGGGTCATCAAGAAAACCAGGGGAATGTCCGGAAAAACATGCGGCCGAGCATGAGGGAGGAGGGAAAGCAAAGGAAGAATCTGTTGGTGCATCTGCTACCGTTTCGCCGAAATGCCCTTTTGGATATGATTCTCAGACATTTAAATTGGGCCCTCATAGTTGTATGATATGCCAGGCGCTTCTTTTTGATTGTAGTAAATGCGTGCCATGTTCTCATGTTTATTGCAAGTAAGGAGATGATAGAATGAAACTCTATGCTATGATGTTTATTTGCTTTTTTCTGTGTTTCATAGTGGTTTGTGTAATGTTTGTGAATCGGTTTCTTTTTATTGGATTAGAGTTTGTATTTCGCGATTCAAGGACTGTCCATTGTGTGGAGCTGATATTGAGAGGATTGAAGCTGATACGGATCTCCAGAGTGTAGTTGATCGGTTCGTTGATGGTCATGCTAGAATCAAGAGGTTCCATGTTGACATGGATAAAGAGGGGAAAGTAGGTGAGAATAAAAAAGTGATATACGAGGATGTTTCTTTGGAGAGAGGTGCTTTCTTGGTGCAACAAGCCATGAGGGTGAGTTGAGCTTGTTATCATACCTTCACTGAGTTTCCATTGTCCTTGTAATAGATGTTATTTTTAGGTTACTTGGGATTATCCATAGGAGTGAAATACCCAACCAAACTTTTTTATATCAACATTGTTATTTTGTCTTAGATACGATTACCTCATCAAAATTGTCAAGGTATTCTATATTAGCGGAAAGCTTCTCATAAATTTCTTTTCCATTCTGCTGCTTTCTTCTCCAGTTCAGAACATATCCTTAACTATCTTTTATGCTCTTGGTTGTTGTCTAATTAGCTGTTATTGCAACTTCTAGTTGACTGTTCTCTTGTTTTTTGACCTTTCATGTGTAGGCATTTCGTGCACAGAATGTGGAAAGTGCTAGATCAAGACTGAGTCTTTGTGCAGAAGACATCCGAGGCCAGATAGAAATAGCAGGGAACACATCGGAACTGTGTTCACAGCTTGGAGCAGTGCTGGGAATGCTTGGGGACTGCTGGTCTGTCATCTCTCCTTTTCTTTAGTTTGTTGCTAGTAACTCATTAAATGCTGCAAGCTCAAGCTAATCTTGTTGGAGTAAGCACACGATGGTTTAAGGACAATGGTAGAATGAAAAGGGTTAAACAGCAACATCTGAATTTGGCTAGAGAATTGAGATAAAGGATTCCTTTAACCAACTCCAACTAGTATGGGACAAATTTAAGGAGAAAAATAATTCTGATATGGTATTAAGATGTAGTTGAATTGAATGGAGAAATTGAAACTGAAATGGTGCTTTATCTAAATAGTTTGAAAAGATTTTTTCTCAGTAAGATCATATATTTATTTTGAATTTTTTTATAAGCACCGAACTATCTGGATTAAGTTATAAGCACCAAACTATTTGGATTAAGTTATTGCTTAAAAAAAAAGATGTTCACATAAGGGAACTCTTCACATGGTTAAAACCTCAATGCAATGAAAATATGTTTCTAAAAACAATCTATCTCATTTTCACTAAAAGAAGTTGAGGAACCCATGCACTTTTCAATAGATGATGAAATGATTGAACTATATTCATTTATTAAGAGCGTTCTTTCTATGGGTTGTGCTGTCATCCAAGTATTCCTAAAGAACCAACTCCGTGCCATCAAAGTGGCTTTTCATTTTCCATAAACAATTATATGATGGAGAAGTTGATTAAAGATGTTAAATTGTTATTGCAATTCTACTTTGCACCATGGTTTTGCATTGATGAAATTGTTGAGGTTGCTGACTTATAGCTGGAATAACTCCTGCAATATGGTTTGCACCGATGAAGTAGGAATTACTAAGCTTGAATCATCTTTGTCACACTCAAAAGGATTGTCAAGTCCTTGAGTAGACAAAGGAATCTGATCTTGTAAATGATAGTTTTAAGGACATGCAACTGATATTAGAGGCAATCTATTCTAAATCAGTATGTTTTGCTGACTTCTTAAAAAAATCTTATGGGTTTCAATGTCTTCTTTCAAAGTAATGGTTGGGTCCTAATTAATTTACTTTGACTAAAATCTCTACTTATCCTGTCTATTCCAGTCGATCAATGGGGGATGCTGGCTCTGCAGTTACGTACTTTGAAGAGAGTGCAGAATTCCTATCGAAATTGCCTGCAGCTGATTTGGAGGTTAAAATTTCACCAGTGTTGGTGCCTGTTAGTCTAAACGTGATTTTACCCTGTCAACCCTAATTCTTTTGGAATTCTTTCCCTACAGATCATGCATACACTTTCTGTTTCACTTAATAAAATTGGAGATCTCAAATATTATGACGGGGATCTGGAAGCTGCAAGATCTTACTATGTCCGTTCTCTTAATGTGCGATGTGATGCCATCAAACATCATCCTAGTGTTTCATCCCAGGTCAGCATGCACTTCTTTTTC